GAATTATTTTTCCAATACCGATGGTGAAATGGAGTCTTCTAATGTACCTGAAAGTAGAAGGTGAGCTTAGTGGATGGAAAGCCGCATGCTCTGCTTTCACACCTTGCTGCCTAAGGGAACTGTTTCACTCTGCTTAACAGTACGGCTGACCTTCCTTCTTCCCTAACCAGAGTTTCTTCCAGTATTGTTCAGGAAGTCTTTCTTAACTGGGCACACATCCCTCTATTGGTAATACAAGCATGTTTTACCGACTTATATAATGTGTTAATTATGGATCTGATTGAAGAGCAATAAGCATTGAGATTAATAGATGCCATGATGATACAAACAATGTCCAGCAACTGTTGAAAAACATTTGAAATTAAACCCTTTGGGCTGCTCATGTTAATGGCCCAGACTCATGGCAAGTTCACACATGCACACACTTTGGAGTCCAATTTTCAATCTGCCCCATCTTTTTTAGCCTGGATTCAGTATGTCCCTTTAGGGATGGGTGTAGTATAAAGGTTGGCTGAGTGTCCCTTTCGCTTTCCTGTCCCTTTCTCTTGCCACTGAAAATGAGAGAAACATATTCAATTGAATCTGGACACATGGCAGGTTCCAATTACTTTTCTGCATAGGCTGATTGTGTGAGGCAAGGGTGGAAAGAGAATGTTCACATTAATAATAAATCCAAAAAGTGATCTTGGGAACCAGCTCTTAGCTCAGGTTTGATCAACAATTTGATCTCAACTTGGGTTTTGCAAGGGTCATAACAACCAGATATATCTAATAATTGAAGGATAAGGCAACTGAAAACCAGTGCAGAATAGTGCTTTGATCAAATCAAGCAATTGTAGCTCTATTCAGATTAAGTACTTACAAAGAATGCATGCAAGGAGAGTAGGACTGTGCCCACTGAGCCCACAGACTTTTTTACATTCACACTAATTTGGATCAGTTTACAGATGTGCAACTTGCACTCATATTGGGGTTCATATGTTGGCTCAGCTAAGATTTTTGAATATATGCATGTGGCTGAAGCCAGTGGGTCTGATCCTGTTCTCCTTCAATGGGTTCACTGAATGCAGATTGATGTTTGAGAAGATCCCTTGAGAATGCTTGTGGGATGGATCCAGGCATAGTTGTGCTTAGAGCAGACCCATAAAAAACAGTGGTAGATGTTAGTCATAACTAAATTTCCATTAATTTCAGGGAGTCTAGTGTGAGCATGGGTCCAACCCATTATCTTCAGTTGCCTGAGTATAACTCCCAATTATCTTTAGAGGCATATCCAATTACTTTTCACCCAGAGGACGAATGAGGCACCTGTGGTCTCCAGAAGTTGTTGGGTTGTATCTTCCATCCATCCTAACCAGCATAGCCAATGGGGAGGGCTGATAGGAGTTGCATTTGGAGTGCTGCACATTCTTGCCTTAAAGGTCTGCATATGTATGTATATCCTGCTCATTTTTATTCCAAGGAATGCAGCATAGTTTACATAATTCTCCTCCTCCACTCCATTTTACCCTCACAACAACAGCCTTGCGAGGGAGTTTGGGCCAAGAGGCTGTGACTGGCCCAAAGTCACCCAGCGAGCTCCGTGGCTGAGTGGGGAATAGAGCCCAATCTCCTGCATCCCAGTCCTGCACTTTAAACCACTACACCACACTACTTGAGTGTGTCTTCTGCACCAAAAGGTAGGAAGCTAAATTAATTTTGGGCAAGCCCAGTCAAAGACAAGGCAATACTACATGGCTCCCCAAAGCCAAGCTTTGCAGGATTAACCAACCCTCCTTAGCTGTTCCTGTTACATGTGCTCTTCCCACTACAATGAGGGGAGCCCTACATGGTCTGCAGGCCATGTTCAGCCCCTACTGCCCCTGAATTTGGAAATAAGCCAGGTTCAATCCAGAGAGCCACAGAGTCCTGAAAGGCTTACAGTTACCTCCAGACAAGCTAATTTTGATCTTTTGGGTCAATGTAGCCTGATGGATAGGAATTTTAATTTTTGAGTCCAGGGAGTGTGTGTATGGCCAATAAAGAGGGCCTGAAGGAGTGAAAATAGCTTTGGGACTTCACCTTTGTGCTAGGAGGTGAAAGTTGCACACTTCTGGAAGGCAGGAAGGATAGGACATCAGACAGCTTATTCCAGAGCCAGTGAAATAAGCTTTCACTGGCTTATTCCAGAGCCAGTGAAGTTGAAGGTTGAGACAGAAGATCAAGCATCATCTGTGAACGGTGATCCAGTTGAACACAATATCCCTTTCAGCCTTTGGTACTAGGGGTGTGCTGTTCCTGAAAGGAGTGGATAAGCCAAGGAAGTCAAGGAAATGAGGGAGCTGAAGATGCTCAAGAAGCCATAAGCCCAGTTGAGGGTGCTGGTGAAAAGATGCTATAAGAACTGGAAGTTTCAGTATGGATGAGATGCTGATTAATATTATTTTTCTGCTGATTGATAAAGTACCTATAAATGGCATGGCAGCTTAAGAAAAACACCTTTGGTGCAAATAGGAGCTTCATATGAAGAAAGGTGTATTAGATCATGAATAGCTGGTACTGTGTTGCACTTCATCAGTATCCTCATGTCTTTGACTGAGCTCCACCTCCAACAAATGAGGACTATAGGAGGCACCATTGAGTTGCCACACAACTGTAAAGGTAATCATGTTTTGGATCTAGGACTACAGTCCTAAGGGTATTTGCCACAAGGCCTGCAAGATCTTAGCAGGAAAATGCAGTATAACCATGGAAAGGTACAACAAAACGCAGTGAGAATAGATGCTCATTTACAAAGTGGTAAATCTGGGTTTTGTACACCAGTATCTCTGAACTTGAGAAAGACCATGCTAAAAATACTACAAGTAGCACTTTTCAGCAACTGAACAGTATTACAGAATATTTTGCTTTGATTTGGTCAGGATCTGGGGAGGCTATTCCACTGTTTTACAGCTGGAGTTAGAATAGTTTGAGAGAAAAGTGAAATTAATGCATTGTTGTGCTTTTGTTTGTACAAAGCCTTGCAACATATAATAGCACTGTGAAACTACCCACAAGTGTTTATGGAACTGTGCTTATTGCCATTTTCCATGCACTTACAGTCCTTCAGATTTTATCCTAGACTTAGAATTAAAAGTATTTTTAGTTTTTTTATTGCGGCTGTCTATTTCAGTTGCCATGAATACACATATTTGGCTGACATGGAAAGAAATGTGTATTAATAATTGACAATAGAATTCCATTTTTCTCTGAAGCTAGTTTTCTAGTTGGAAGCTAGCTTTTCTGAAGCTAGTTTTCTCTCTGCACTAGTTCAGCCATGCCCCAGGAAACTCAAGACTCAAGGCTCTGTGTCATTCTGTGCTCCATAAAATGTAATCCCTCAGCCTGTGGTGGTTAGAGTGTTGGACTGGGGACTGAGGAGATCCAAGCTGTAGTTCCCACCCAGCCATAAAGCTGAGCGGCTTTGGGCCAGGCATGGTCTCTCAGCCTAACCTACCTCACAGGGGCACTGTTGTGAGGATAAAACAGATGAGAAGAATCTTGAAAGCCACCTCAAATTCATTGCAAGAGGTAGAAAGGCAAGATATACATGTGATGTAATAATATTTCTCCAAAATAATGACTGCCATTCTTCAGTAAAAGTTTTCTTTCTGAGTTTCCTCAATGTATCTGCATATAATGGGTCAGTTTCCTCATACGCTTCACCTTACTAATCTATATTGTATGGCTTAGAAATGGTTTGGAATTTCCACATGCTAGATTGTGGGATTCTTGCTGCAGTTATCAGAGTCTACTCTAACAACCTGATTCGAATCATGTTTCTTTGGAAGAAAATCAATGGGTCTTACTTCTTCCGGATAAGATGGTCAGGGTGGGAATACAAATCAGAATGGCCTTTTGCACCACTTTCTAGCTGAGGGAGAGAATTGCAAAGAAAAGATATACATATGTATTGCCTCTACTTTTGATTGGCTGAATTTGGCAGATGATATATACACACCCTTGTAAAAGCTTTCCATGTAGCAATCACACCCTGGTCGTGAATAACTGGAGCTCTTCGGCAGCCTTCATAGCTTTTCATCCTGTGCTGCCCCACTCTTTCCCTGGGCTCAGTCCCATCCCACTGTGGCCTTTTGTTTGCTTCTTTCCCTTTTACCATTAACTGATTTGACCTTGGCTTCCATCCATCCCCGCACAAGGATCATCCGAGAATATCAGGACACTTACTATCCCTCTTGCACCAAAGCAAGCAGAGATTTATGAGTACCTCAAAGGGGAGAACACAAATGACACGGGCATGCAGAGTGCAGATAAAAATGTTCAGAAAGTTAAAGGAAAACCTTAGTCCTCATTTGGTTGCTATGTGTGCATGACAATAGAAAATGATTGCAAAACACACACACACTCCTTATTACTGTATTATCTTACATGTAATATGTGTAACATCTACTGTCATCAGCTACTTTGCCTGATCTGTAAGTTCTCTGTTTTGTGAAACAATTTGCACTACTCCAAAAATTATGTTAATCTTTTGATACACCATCAGAAAGAGCCACTCTGTAGACTTTCAGAAAAACCACTTTTTATCAATCACAGGCATATCACTACTCATGTCATGATTTTTTCCCCTATTTCTTAAATTATTTCTTGTTTTCAATGTGCCTCTTTAGTTGTTAGTGACATCAGAATCCTTCCTACTGCAGATTATGACAAGAGGTTCATAAGCTTCTATTTCAATATGAATGACTCCCTTTCAGCTACCTATAAGCCTATGAGAAAAGTTGCACCAGTCTATTGTTCTAATTGGTTTTCAGCTCTAAAATAGTAGTTTACATCTTCAGTGTTTTTAATGCATCACTCATTCATTTTAACTTGCAGTCAAGCAATACACCTATATACCTCTCACCAACTTTAAACCCAAATGAATGTAATAAATATATGTAGACTTTAATTAAAGAACTGAATGCATGTGGATTTATAACAAGATTTATTATTTATTGTTTTTAATAATAAAACACATGGCAATTTTTTCACGCAGAAATTTTGCAAGCATTTAACTTAAAAACTTTATTAACATTTTGGGGAATAGAAACATGATCCAAATCTTTTTCAATAACAGAATGTAAGCTTAATTAATCTAACGTAAAGAATAAATCAGGAGGGATGTCCCATAACAAAGCACAAGTTACAGAAAGACCACCTCTATGGTTTTCCTTACAGTAGAGTTTGAAAGGAAGGAACAGAGCAAAATGTTGATGTTATACAATGATCCAAAACAGCAAATGCTACAGTCTAGGCCCCCCAGTCCTTTCATCAATTATGTGCATGAGTAATTTAGCTTCACCATTCAGCCTCAATGCATAAATGTTTGCAGGATCGTGTTCTTAAGACCCCTTCAATTAAACCCTTACGGGATAATAGGCTGCATTTGAGACACCAGCTTGTACTGACATGACAGGCAGGGAAAAGAAACAAACAACAATAATTAGTTGTTCATTTTGATATACTTGTTATCTCCTCAGAGGAGAAAAAGAGTAGAGCAATAATTTCCAGGGTCATTAGACAAAAGTTGGCAACTTTACCCATTTGTCCTATTTGTAAGCACTTTTGCAGAAAGGTTTACACTTTGGCTGATTTTTGTGCAATCTCCATTATGAGATTTCTACTGAACACACACCTTCCTGGTATATGTGCCAATGGGACACAGACAGATTGCAGGAGAGTTCCCTCTATGACAAACCCCAGCCATCTCTAAATTCTTATCATTTCTTAGCAGAAATTCCACGCAGTAAGAGTCTCAATGTGAAATCCATAAAATCCATAAAGGGAGATCTACCACTGAAATACTAGGATAAATGGCTGGTTTGCATTGCCCCTGGTCTTTATCCAACACTGAGAATAGACTGCTGTTTTATCAAAAGAGGAATAAATTGCTGTTATTGTGATGTTAGCCCATCACTTGGCATTGCAATTCAGGTTTTTGTGAGAAAGAAATGTATGATCTAACTGCGACTTGACCTGTGCCTTCTGAGATCCATATAGGTGCTCTAATGGAGCATAAAAAGTGTTGAATACAAGGACATGCAAACTGGTGGTGAAGAAACTCATTCAAAGAGAGCAGGAAAGGGAACAGGACTTTTGTGTGCAACTCAATTTGTTAAACTAGAGAGGAAAAGCAACAAACCAAAGGTAATTATTTTAATGTATTTCGCCAACAAATTGCACAATGAATGGCATTATTTTTTTTCTTTTTTTTATTATTGCCAGGATTCCAGGTTTTTAAAACCCCTGGTGGGGGACACACTGAAGAGGGGGCATTCGATAATTTTAAAAGCTCAGGCTGCAAGCTCCTGAAATCCCTCTTCCCCAAAAAATCCCTTTAAGGCTACATGAAAACAAACCCAAACACTTTTGTCCTCTTTTTGAAGGGCATGTTTTATTTCTGAGATATGTTAACCAAATATATGAATTATGTTAGCTTTAACAAAATATTTGCATGCAACCACACACACACACACACACACACACATTGTGCGGTGGGTAGTGGAGGGCAACAGAAACTCCCTAGTTGCTATAGCATTCAGAATTTCTCAGACAAGGATCTATTTTTAACAAGAGGTCTGGGGAACAGTTGCAGTTAGATTTCAGTACTGATAAAGGCTCACTTTTCATTCATAGCGAGAGAACTCTTCTTGTACCTAAACAGATAATAAGTACTCTGCACACTCCCCCTTCTTGACACAACACACTGAGACTAATCACACATAATTGGAGAGGAGGAGCAGAGGGCTGGCCAAGGCATTGTGTCCAGAGGACAAATGGTCAGTTTATGAGGCTTTGGTTTGAAGCAGTAATTTCTTATACATCTACAAGGAAAAGAGTGTGTATGGCTGGGGAGGGGGGATCCTGTTGTCAAAAAACATTAAGTAATCAAGCAAAGCAAGTTTAAAGCATTTCAGTCTGAAAAGGGAAGGAAGGCAATTTTCAAAAAAAAAAAAAACCGCAAACTCTGTGTGTGTGTGTGTGTTGCGGGAGTGGGGACACAAAATATAGCACAAGGCACATATAGAATATGATGGCTAGATGCCCAATGATGATCAGCATTTTCTTTTCACTCTCTAGAACAATAAATCTTTTAGCATTTTACACTTGGTCAAACACAGGCACAGAACATAAGACTTCAAACAGAAGAAACTGTTTTTGTCTAGATGAAGAAATCGTGTGTGGGGGGGATGGAGTTCTTAAGGCTTTGGGTTTTATCAGAATTGATTCTTAAAATCAATGCAAAAGTTTGAGGAATGGTAATACTGCATACAGCTCAGGGTTTTCTCTTCTCAAGAAGTGATAACTTTTTTACCATTTTGATTATTCTTAAAATTGAACATTCACATGGCTGTGAATCAAAATAAATCTCCATGTAATCAAAATAAATCTATCACATACTCTATTCACATTTGGATAAAATCAGAAGTAGTGGGTAGTGGAGATTCTCATCATAAATATCTTTCTCTTCCTTTTTCAACTGCAAATGAAAACGCAGAGAACAATATTAACTTATATTAATGGCAACAAATCTTTTCACCTATTCTGCAAGCAAGTAGATATTAGAAAGGCTTGTGTTGCTTATAGCAACAATTATGTTTGTGTCAAATCATATCACAATTAAGGTATAGTACATAACATATCTATCACAATTATGCAAGTTAATGTTTTCTAGTTGTACAACAAAATTGCTCAAGGCAAAACGGCAAGCACTCTAATAAATACAAATTATTGATTCACTCAATTGATTCAAGTAAATTCCAATTAGTCTAAATGAAAAGTATGAAAGTATGAAAGCAAAAACTGCATCTTAAAGTGTAAGTTTCCAGACTTACAACAGATATAGCATTTAAACTCACTAACCACTTAGCTACTCCAGTAATACTTTTATACAACAAGGCATTTCATCCGGGCCTAAGCTGTTTCAAAGGCTCCTCGGAGTTTAACGTATTAATAATGTTCAATTCAAAAATTCTCTTGAGACAGAATTTACACAGCCCTTCTTGACAACAAGATTTAAGGTTATGCGAACCTCAACAATGCAACACAGTGTAAAAATAGCCACTAAATAGCTTATTTACCAGAGACTTACATTTGTCATATATTTCCTACAGATAAAATTGAATTCAAGTAGCTAATCAGATCATTCAAATCTATAAAAATTAAAATCTTTTACTGAAGCACTTCTCTCTACAACATTTTTTAAATAGATTGAATGGAGCCCAACACAAAGCAGTGCAATATGAAAAAAAGAAAACTAAAAAGTGTTGCTGCTTTTTATTCAAACAAAATTCTTCCCACTTCAGTGATAGGAGTTACAGATTCTAGCCAGTTTGGGATATAAGAATTATGAATGCTTTATAAATATTGGTGTTTCCCAAATGCTGTTTTCCAGCTCTAAATAAGCTGCTATTTAGAAGAACAGCTATTTTTTCTATAGCACAGAACCTCCTTTCTCTTTGAACTCTCATCCATATTACTAAGAAATAAAACTTGGCTTCCTGTAATCTTTAGCTTTAGCATAGATAGTTCTCTCAGTTTGCATAAGATGACTCATTGGCTTTACTATAATATGCCAGCATTTTGGGGAGAAGGGGTAGAATGACTATCTAGTTTGGTGTTTCAATAACTCTACTTTTCAGCAGCCAAGACATTTTACTTTAAAATGAAAAAAGTGCTCTGGCACCTTTGATATTAACTGATTTATTGTGGCATGAACTTTCATGGGACACTTGCCAAAATAAACCAATTACACTCAAAGGACCAACAGTCCTTTTGCTGCTGCAAAGGTGGCTACCTTTTTAGAATGTTAATTTTTAGTATTTCCCTTTTACAGAGAAAAGAAGGTGTACTAAAACACTTTTAGTCAAAAGCTGTCTCAAGTTGCATTTTGTAGTCCATTTACTCAGATGGAAACTAACAAGCAACAAATGTGTACAGATATTATTGGAGAAAATTACCTCCTTGAGGAATAAACTTCGAATAGGCATTCCTATTGCACATAATCCTCCACTCTGATGTGGTTTAGGTCAGCAGCCTCACTAACCTACAGCCAGAAATAATATATTGCAAACCCTCTAAAGCAAAGCCATAAGAAAAATTGCTCTTGTTCAGGGATGTGGCAGATCGGATATGCCCTTGCACCTCTTTTAACCTGAATTCTCTAGTGACCTCTGGTGGCCAGCACAAAGTATCCATTACACAGTTTAAGTACAATCCAGACCCAGCTATACCATTCCAGATTAGCAGGGGGATGTTAAACAAATAAAGAAATGCCATAAAGCCATGTATTACTGCAACCTGTTATCCAGCCATAAGTGCATCAGAAACATAACATTATTGCACTTGTATATGCATACAGACCCATTTGCAAACAGTGCATATGTTCCAGTCTGGAATATTATGTAGAGTGTTATTGTGCACATCATGGTTGCACTTCTGAGCCCAATTAATGATTGTAATTTTATGAAATAAAAAACCCCCTCATAAACCTGCCTTTTGAAACCCATGAACAACTAAAAGCAAATTGTGAATAAAACAATTTTTCAATTTTGCAGGCGAGAGAAGTGGGGGGGGGAGAGGAGCGAGAGGGGCTTATAAGGACTGAAATAAATTATATGGCTGCTCTTAGTAGCATTATGCTTTACCTCCTAATTGGATGTAACACACTCAGACCCACGGGGTGAACAGC